GTTCCAATTCTAGGTAAGATGGAATATGTACACTCCACCCTGTCTCTCCCATTGAATGCAGCTATGAAACATAACACATAGTTATTTGAGGAATAAATAGTAGCAGGAAAACTGGGGAAGAAGACCAGGATTCAAGTATCACTGAACCAGTGGAAAGTTTACAATTTTCCCTCTGGTATTCTCCAGCCTGAACTCAACAATTGCCCAAACCTGGAAGTGGACACAGACAGCACTCCAGAAGTCTTGTTTTTACTTGAAAAGTGGAAAAGTGAATTTCTAGCACTCAGAGTAGAAGAAATCCTCCACTTTTCTTTCTCTTTCTTTCTCCTTCTTCCTTTCTTTTATTTTTCTCTATACTCTAATGCTGCATTCCCCAAGCAATTCCCTGTCCCCGGGGCGGGGGTAAGGGGGTGTGTGGGTGGGTGCAGCAGCAACAGCTCACAGAAGCCTGAACTCTGAGGGAAGGAAAACTTCTTTTCTGATTGGAGGATGTGTGGACCCCAGGAGGGTGGGGCAAATCCGTTAACATTTTTTTCTCTCTCACTGCCTTCTACCACTTGGCCCTTGACACAGGCAGAGTTATGGGAAGTGGGCAGCACAGCAGAGTCACTAAAGCCTCAGATTTCTGGCTAGAGGACCAAAATGAGCTCAGGGAACGAATAGTACCAAGATTAGGAAAAGGAAGGAGCTCAGGAAAGTTACTCATAACGTTTCATTACATTGTTTATGAAATCCTGGGCTCATCTCTGAGCTGTGCAGGCATAGAATTGACCCTGCATGCTGCACATACATTTAAATAAACCTTCCTCTACTGAGATTTCCTATCTCTTAATTCATTCATAGCATTTTTCCTATTTTTTTAACTCATTTAAGGTTTTCATTTACTGCCTTGAGCATAGTCAGGTCCTTTAAAGACTTTGTCTGATAATTCCAACATCTGGGTTATCACAATATTATCTGTTGATTATTTTTTTCCTTGAGATTGTTTCACATTTTTCTAGCTCTTTGTATGTCAAGTCATTTTGGATTTTATCCTGCACATTCTGACTTTTATTTTCTATATACTCTGAGTTCTGTTTCATTCCTCAAGAAAAAAAATGTTAAGCAGGCAATTAACTTGTTTAGACCTGTGTGTTTAGGCTTTATCTCACTTTTTGTGAATGGTGATTCAAATCTGCTTTAAGCTTCTGAGTTTGTCTTGTGCATGTGTGGTTCAGGGGCCAGCTTGAGCCTTGTGTGGAATTAATACACAGAAGTAGAGGATTCCTCTTTGTAATTCTCTTTCCTCCACAATTGCCCCTCTTTCCAGATATGGCTGTTGTATGCTCCCTTCCCTGGTTCCTCCAGCCAGAAAGATGGTGGTGGGTTTTCTATTACTATTATAGCTATTCATGCTATACCACTTTACGACTGTGACCTACCCTCATTGCAAAGCCTCCACCACACACACACACAGAGGAACATTCACCCATGTCCTGACTGCTCCTTAAAATTCTGACTCCCCTCCGCAATAGCCTGCTTTTATTTATTCTTCAGAATTCTCAGGTAGCTGTTTTTTACATTTTGTCCAGAATTTATAGTTATCATCAGGATGAAATATTGTTTTTAGAAAGTTTACATCATACAAAATATTTTTGTTTGACACATAAAAATGTATTGCCCATGCAAAAAATTACATTAATATAATTAAAAAGACTATCTGGCAATGGTCAGTTTCTTAAATCAGGCAATGTTTACATGAATATGTGTTTTATAATTACTTCACATGCTTCATATCCTTTTTAGTGAACACGATACACTTAATTTTATTTTTTATTTTTATTTTATTTTATTTTATTTTTGTCTTTTTTTTTTTTTCCGTGTCCGGCAACGGATCGCAACCCTCAGTGTTGCCCCCGTACCGGACCGGGGACCGGCGACGGGATCGCAAGCCTCGGCGTTGCTCCCGCGCCTCGCTCAGCCAGTGAGCGGGAGCCGGTCTGTACGTGGGATCCGAACCCTCGGACGGGAGCGCTGCCGCGCTTCCCAAGCGGCACACTATCCAGTGCGCCACCGGGCCGGCCCAATTTTAAATGAAGTACCAGCCCTTCATAATCAAAGCCACGGCTCCTCACTTGTTAACATTTATCTTGTTGATAATAGTGCTATGAAAACTAACACATTTGCAGTACTTCAGTAAGTGGGAAAATTGAATAAAAAGATAATCCCTTAAAATGTAAAAGTAAATACATTCTAAAAAAAAAAAAAAGAAAAAGTAAAACTCATACGGGCAAGGATAACTCAGTAAAGTATGTTTTAAAGTGTACTGAAACGGACAAACAATCCTCTGCAGTATTTCAGGACAGTAGAGCACACAGGCTTTGGACTGAAAATATTGGTTCAAGTACTGGGTCTGCCTCTTACTAGCTATGTAACCTTGGATAAGTTACATCAGCTCTCTGAGCTTGTTTCCTCATTATAAAATGGAGAAAATAATAGTGCCTAACTCAGAGGATACTGGGTGTATTAATTAGGTAATGAATGTAAAGTGTTAAGCATAATGCCAGACACCTATAAAATGTTCAGTAAAAATGAGCTATTAGAACTAGTATTTTCTTCTGTATTCCACTTCTCCTATGGTCTATTTATCCAACTACTAATCTTTATTTGATGCATCTCCACAAAAACAAATTGAGATGTTCCTTCACTTCCAGGAATGAACGAACAGCCTAGTCTAAACTTCAGCATATACTAAGACAAGTTTTAGTTGAATGCGCCCTCTAGTGGTGTATGTTATGTGCACGTACCCAGCATCTACATAAAAAACCTTGCCATGAAATGTCATTAGGCTGGTGCTTAGAACCTAAAGCCAGCTGGTTGAGATCATTATGGTATGAGAAGCACTATCATACATCTTTTAAGAAGTGTCTTATTTTCCAGAGCTGGAGGATTTGTCTTTTAAAATCTTCTCCACTGTATGACCTAGGATATTTGTAATATTTATCATACCAAGTCTCAATATTCCTATAGCACTAACTTTAATCTTTCCTCTTGGAGAAAACCGAGACACTTTCTAGTTTGCTTTAAATAAACATTGCAAAGTGCTTACTCTTCATCCAATTAACAGATACATACTGAGCACCAACTATGTACCAGGCAATGGGGATACAATAAACAACGTATTACACAGTTTATGTAATTTCGAATTTGAAAAATATCATCAAGAAGAACAGATTGCCATGAGTGTATAAATAGGGAATTGGCTTAGTATGGGAGGGGCGGGTTTTGGAAGGCTTACATGAGAATAAAATAGTAAAAGCCTTGAAGGATGAGTAGAAATTAATGGGGAAAGAAAAGGAGTACCATACAAACTTAACAGCGTAAGTGAAGGCCAGGAGACAGCAAGGTACAGGTGGCATTTGAGAAACCAATGAAAGACCCTGTTCATGGAGCTGAAAAAAGAGGAGATTGTGCAATTAGTGCAACTAGAGGCTAAAGAAATGGGCAGACACTTAATAACATGTTATGTAGTTTGAACTTCATCCCAAGAACAATGAGAGGGATTGGCTGGTTTGCTCTTGATTAGAGTTTGGTGTTGGTAACACCAAGGTCAAGGGTTCAGATCCCCATTCTGCCAGCAGCCAAAGCAAACAAAAACTAGGGTTGGCCAGTTAGCTCAGTTGGTTAGAGCACGGTGCCGATAATAAGGTCCAGGGTTCCATCCCCCTACCAGCCTGCTGCTCCCTTCCCCCCCAAAAGAGAGAGAGAGAGAGAGAGAGAGAGAGACGATGTAAGGGTTTAAAGCAATACAGCAACAATCTGATTAGGCAATGTGATTTACACTTTCAAAAGTTCACTTGGCTAAAGCAAGAAAAATCAGGATTTGAGGGAGTTGGGCAAGACAAGCTGCAAAAATACAGGTGGGACATGATGAAAGCTGGGACAAGGGAGGTGGCGGCAGAGTTGAGACGTGGACAAACATTGAAAAGGTAAAATTGATCAAGCATGATGATGGGGATTAGAGTAGTGGTGCTGGTGAACCGAGGATGTAATGATGCCACTTCTTCACTAGGCACAACTGGTGGTGTTACCTGGGAGGAACCGAGTTGTTTCGGAAACTCGGGTTTTCCTCTTAAGACAACTGCTTCGGCTACAACGTGTGATAGATAGTTCAATAATGCCCATCTAGCACTGGGCGGGGGAACCATGAAGCACTGCCCCCCCATAGAGCCCCCAAACGTCCTTTTCAGACTTCTGTCAATGACCCACTACTACTGCGCTTGCCTCTGCCTGGAATGCCCTTAACTCTCTTCCGTCGCCAATTTGTTTTGTTTTTCAAAGTCCAGTTCAAAGGTCACCTTCTCAAAGAAGCCCTTCCGGCATCTCCCACCCCACCGATCCTCTCGTCTATTTCGCGCCCTGAAGTGTGAGTTCACGGACAGCACGGAAGAAGCACTCTTCATCTTTGTGTCCTCGGCGTGCAGCGCCGCGCCGTTCCAACGCCAGGAACTCCACAAACGCTCGTATACTCAGCCACGCGTACCCGCCCGGGAAAGCCCAAAGCCAGTCAGCCGACCCTCCCGGTGCCCGCCGGAAGTGACGCTCTCTCAGGGACTATGTGCTTCCGGTCCCGAGTGCCGTCGCTGGAGGGGGATCGGGCTTCTCTGGCTCGCTAACTCTGTTGCTCTGGAGGATTCATGCGCGGTAAGAAGCCGCGGCAAGACGGGGTCCCGCAGACCCCCGGATGCCACGGTGCCCTCTGGCCTGGCGGGACTTGTGTGGGAGGCGCGGGAGGGCAGAGGAACTGGCTGCTGGGTCTCCGAGAGCCCCCAGCGCCTGTGTGGCTGGAGCGCCGGGCTACGCGGCCTGTCGAGGGCGCCGGTGCGGGGATCGGCCTCAGCCGGTGGGAGCTGCCCGCTGGGGACGGCGCGCCCAGCCCCCCTGGAGCCCGCTGTGCGGTGGGCCCGGCCGACCCGGGCTCTCCCCCTTCAACCTCTTGACACTCAGAGCTTCCCCCTTCCCATATACTCAGGGGAAGGATAATCCACTTCGTCTTGAACAGCCCCGGTCCCCACTGGGACAGTCGCAGGACCTTCGGCGACGAGTGTGCGCGCGTAAAGTGGCGCGCCGCCTCTCACACCGGCTAACTGGGCCAGCCTGAGCGTGTGTTGGACGGCGGGAGCTGAGGCTTTAACGCTGATAGGCGCATGGGATGCTGTCCCCAAAAGGTGGCAGCTTAATAGTTTAATTAACCTTTGATTATGACTGATGTTCTCATTCATTGAAGCAAAAAGAAAAAAGAAAAAAAAATCCTCCTAATTGCTAGATAATATGTAAAGTAACCAAACCATTATTCAGTTTTATGTAGGAGCCAAGTAATTCATCTTAGAATAATTACTTTAAAATGTGTATATGCTCTAAAATGAAATCTCTGTTTCTGAATATTATAGAATATGTATTAATGATTAAAAACAAGATATACTTGTTGGTATGGAATATATCTTATGATTTAAATCATAATTTAAATGGTATAATTTAAGACAATTTGAAACCACTGGGCTGGAAGTAGCATATACACTGATTAATAAGAGAGGAAGACCCTGTGTCGTCACGTGACTGTGAACACATTTTATTTATAAATCTGCCGGAAAGAGTTATAATGACAAACTTCACGTTAAAGGACAAGTGTTCTCTATACTTATAATCTGCTGTTCAAATTGTTGCATTGAAATGGCAGTCTAAGCAAGAAGATTGGGAGAAAGTAGCCTTGGGACTTAGAGATAGGAAAATAAACGGCCAGGAGAACTGCAGAATTTGGGAGGAGTAACTTCATTCACTGTATTATTAATGTGATTTATATTTTGCGAAATAATTTAGGTTTCTTAACGAATCATTTTCCACTTTTAAGCAAGTATTTATATATGCTTTATATGCTTTTTTTTAAAACTGGTGCAGCATCTTCTCTGAAAAGTGCTAGATTTATATTAGAGGCATATTTCTGCTGCATATTATAGGATTAAATATATAGAGAGATCTAAATGAAGTAAAAAGTGTTTTAGTAAGTAAAAGTTTAACACATGGGCATATGGGATACAGCAATATAGCACGTATCATCAGTTTTTTTTTTTTTTTTTTTTTTTTAAATGATGACTAACTAGCCGTGCTTGTCTTAAAGAGTGATAAGGTACATTGGATGAAATCATGACCAGGTGGGCACGAGTTACTACCACACATAACAAGAGACCCTTGCCTGCAACATCATGGGAGAACATGAAGAAGGGACCCTTTGAAGGAGCAAGCCAAAACCTACCAAAGCGTAAACAACTTGAAGCCAATAGACTTTCCCTTAAAAATGATGCACCCCAAGCAAGACTTAAAAAGAACAAAAAGAAAAAAGAGTACTTAAATGAAGATGTGAATGGATTCATGGAGTACCTAAGACAGAACTCACAGGTGGTTCACAATGGGGAGATGATAGCAACAGACAGTCAGGAACTAAGGGACGAAATTGTAGTTGCCTTAAAGAAAGACAGTCGACGGGAAGGAAGACGATTAAAACGACAAGCAGCAAAGAAAAATGCAATGGTGAGTTCATCGCTTATATAGCTAGAAAGTATTATTCATATACTCACACGTATATATCTTAGAGTCTGATTGTTGTTATGTCCTAGATTTATAAAGCATCTTTTTAAGGGCTAGTACTTTTTTGGGATGTATATGCTAGGCACTTGATGTACAGGTTAATTATCAAAACAACACTAAGAAATGATGGCATTATTCCCATGGTATGGGTGGAAAGCACTGAAATGCAGACATGTTAAGAAACTTGTGGAAAGCCACTTAGCGAGTAGTAGAGGTGAAGTTCCAACCCAGAGTCTTTCTGACTTCAGACCTATGTTCTTACTCCTGCCTTCCAATTGCCTTTTTTCAAATAGCCAGTAAGAAAATGTCAGTGTGATGAAGATCAGTTACAAGTTAAATGTGTGTGGTTCCCATTGGTTGGAAAGGATGATGTTTTGTTTTTATCAATGAAAACTTGAGGCATAGGAAAGAGATCCAACACGAATCACACTAGTTAGTAACAGCAGAGTAATTGCACCGTTCACACTCTGAGACTGTCCCTTGTCACTGCTCCCTCCCTCTTCCATGTTACATTCAGAGGAATGCGGGGGTCCTCGGGCTTATTTCTGTAGTGCCCAGCCCTACTTTTCAAACTGTCAGACACAGGAAAGAAAATACATAGTATAGTTTTTTCTTTTCTCTAAGTGAATTTCCCAAGTCTTCTAGCAGGATACTACATAAGAATCAGGACTTGTTGCTAGTTATTACACTTTCACTTTTTATTAGAATTACTAAACATAAAGCAGTGTTTGCACCAGTGCAGGCTTGTAATGTTATAGCTTCTATAAATGTGGCTTCTGACTATTTACAGGATTAGTTCTATGCATTGTCATATTTAAAGATAATTATTTAGAGATAATACTGATGAAACATTTCTTATGGATGAATTTGGATAGAAATGATAATCATTTCTGTTTGGATCAAGATAGAATTTTGTTTAAATTATAAAACTGGTTATTTAAAAATATTTTTTAAGTCAAATAATTTAATTTAACTTGAAGATAATTTAATTGACATAGGTAGTATCGTGAACTGCAAATCACTTGAAAAGGTTTACTGTTATAGGCCTTTTCAAGACAAGCTTCTGTTTATAATTAAGGGGGAGGGAAATTGTTTTTTTCGAGAAAAAAGAATGCTTTATAAATAGTATATAGCCGTTGTGTCCTACTGTCAATTTATTTTGCTATTTTTTAATACCTCATTGTAGGCATCAACTCTTTTTTTTTTTTTTTTTTTTTGGTCCTTTTTGAGACCGGCTGCACCGCGCTCAGCCAGTGAGTGCTGTGAGCGCACCGGTCATCCCTATGTAGGATCCGAACCCGCGGCAGGAGCGCTGCTGCGCTTCCAGCGCCACACTCTCCCAAGTGCGACATGGGCTCGGCCCATAGGCATCAACTCTTAAATGCTAATAAGTTGACTAAGATATAGGAATTTAAAGTGCGACACGGGCTCGGCCCATAGGCATCAACTCTTAAATGCTAATAAGTTGACTAAGATATAGGAATTTACCAGTCAGCTCTCCACAGTCACATCTACATTAAATTAAAGGCCCATTCAAGAAATTTGTATTTGTTGATGATTAGGTTTTAAAGGTCAAGGCAGTGAACCACTTTGATTTCACCTCAAGAAGCCAAGACTACTTCTGGTGGTGATCTAGTCTTTAGCAGTAACTTTTTCTGCACCTGTAGAATTAATGCAGTTTCTTTGTTTGGATCAGCTCATTCTAAATGTAAAAGCTATCAGAAGAATTTAAAGGGACTCATCCTTTTTCCAATATGTTAAACAGGAAAAAAGAAAGTGATGACAGAAATATGTAAAATATGTTTCATTTTGCCTGTTGAATTTGCTTTTTAAAAAAATCCTGTACTTATTTTGGAAAAAATCATTAAGTGATTATTTGTTGTCCAGGAAATATATATATACCTCTTTCCAGTTTAAATAAAATACTTTAAATATCTATCATCTTTGATTATGGTTGGTGTTCTCATTTATGGCAGCAAAAAATATCCTCCAAATTGCTAGGTAGTATGTAAATAACTAAAGATTGTTCAGTTTTATGCTGGAGCCAAATTTATCTTAGCATAAATTATCCCTTTAAAATGTATTGTGTGTATATTCTAAAAATGAAACCTCTATTTCAAAATATTAAAGAATGTGTATTAATGGTATAAAAACCATAAGGACATACTTTTGCTATGAAATATATCTTATGATTTGAATAATAATTTAAATGGAAATATTTGACCTAAATTCATTCAATTATGTGAACTTTAAAAGAGCATACACTAATTTTGAGTGATAAATTTTTATAGCCATTGTCTGTCTTCTACAGAAATCTCCATTTTTGTAGTGCAGACATCCCTAATAGTCTATTTGCTCAATTCATTTAAGCAATTGCCTTCTACACAGCCATATATAACATTGTTTCTGAGACTGATGGATTTATGGATTGAGGGTTTTCAAAAGCATTGAGACCCTCTGAAGGAAATGATATCTCCTAGTGTTTAGAAATGTGTGAAACACTTTTTTCTACTAATAAAATACTGAAATTTCAAGAAAAGAGCTAAATAACTTTAAAATGAGAAATGTTTTAAAGGTATTTTTGCTAACAAGAATTGATAAAGTCACTAGTGTAGTTTTGCAGCATGGAAACTCACATTTTGTTTGCCCAGGTATGTTTCCATTGTAGAAAACCTGGCCATGGAATTGCAGATTGCCCGGCTGCCCTTGAAAATCAAGATATGGGCACAGGAATATGTTATCGGTGTGGCTCCACAGAGCACGAAATAACTAAGTGCAAGGCTAAAGTAGACCCAGCTCTTGGTATGTTTTTCTTTTAGTTTTTTGTTTGGTGTGTGTGGAAAGTGGCCAATATATCGCCAACTGGGTATTGTTTTGTTGACAGAATTTGTTATGAGCTTGCCACTTGATATTTCAAAATCATATGAGATTAAATTTTAAATTATATCAAATATATATTTTCTATTCAGAGTATTTCTTTTAAAAAATGTGTAGTATATGTCTTGTCACATACATAATAAACTTAATAGGAATCATTGATTTTACAGGTGAATTTCCTTTTGCAAAATGTTTTGTTTGTGGGGAAATGGGGCATTTGTCCAGATCTTGTCCAGATAATCCCAAAGGACTCTATGCTGATGGTGAGTACTGTTATTCTTGAATGTCAAAAATAATAAGACATGCAGAGTTGAGATTTAACTTACACTCTTAATAGTTCTTGAATAGATTCTTGAATAAGTAGCAAAACCTTGAGAATTTTATTTATCAAGTGCTATTCTATGTACTGGGCTTTTTGAGCAATATTACTTGATATATTAATAAATAAAATCAGAAAAAATTGGTGTGTATTTCAAATTGTGCTTGCTTCAGCATCATTTGTGAGAGTATGTAATACATTTCTACTTTTAACAGAAGCAGAGAGATTATATCTCAAACTAATATAAGATTTTTAAAATAGTGTTATGTGTTTAATCTCAGCCCAGCATACCATTTTGGTAGAAGGGCTGGTACATACTATTCAATATTGTAGTAATTTTTGTTTCTGAATTTTTTCTTTAGTTAATTGTCTGTTGTGGGATCATGTAACTTTCTTCAGCTCAGCCCATGTCTTAAAGTCCTCACAGTAAAGTTTGTGATGTCTAGAGTTTTAAGGAGGAGGTTGTTATCTGTTAATGCAATGGTGGTGCTGTCGGGTTCTGGACTCCTCTGTGTCATGTCCTGGGTGCCCCCTGGAGAAGTCCAGTGAAAAAACATAGCTTTTGGAGTCGGTCAGACTCAGGTTATAACCCCAGCACCACCACTCACTAGTTGCGGGACTTCAGCCAGGTTACTCAACTCTTCTCATCTCAGTTTCCTCACCTGTAAAATGGAGCTGGTAAAACTATATTGCATTGGTTCTAAGATGCACCCTTTCCCCCCCACATTTTAATATCTTTGAAATCATAGTATATCTTACCATTGGTGGATCCCACATAATTGACAGTTTTTTTCTTTCTGAGAGGTATGTGGGATAATGATATATCTTATAATCAGTGGTGTCTTAGATTTGATGAATTATGGTATTTACCTGGAAGAGTTATTATGAAGATTGAAATATGTTATTCAAGTGCCTCTTCTGTTTCACTATGGCAGTTAAAACAATAAAGAGACCTGGGCCTGGAAAGTGCTCATAGGTGCATTTTAGGTTTGAGCTTATAAAGCTAGCCAGATAGCATGTCTAATGAGCAAAAATGGCTTTAAATGGTCAATCGAAGTGGCTACATATTTAAAAAAAAAAAAAAAAAAAGGCTGTAAGGGGAGTAGATCATGTAATGTGAGAATTCAGCCAGCTTTGTATCCCATAGGGTCATGCTTCTGACTAAGTCACTTAACATGTGACCGTGATCATGATAATGCTTAACTATTAAGCAATAGTGTTTGACCAGTAAGTGAAAGACTCATTTTAGAAACCACATGTGTTATAATTTACAATCCTGGAATGTTGTTTAAAGTAGACAAATAGGCATTTTTATTAGGGTTAGCATGCCTGGCAGGTGTAAGGTACTGAAACAAAGGTAATTTCATTCCTTTCATATGCTTACCGCCATCTGACTGGTAGAATACAGCAGTGGTTCCTAACCTTTTTTGGGGTCATTGACCATGTGAGAATCTGATAAAAACAAAGGACAGCCTGTTCAGAAAAATGCATCCACACACACTTTTTGTTACAGGTCCAAGGGTTCCCAGACCCTTGACAATCTAACCATGGTGAAGATCCAGATTCTGTGCAATGTTTCTTGGATAAGTGCCTTGCATCATATCTCTCTTTTCTTTCCTGCTTCTCCCGCAAAGGCCAGTTGCAAGAGGCAGTGGATAGGTACAATTTAGTGCTCCAGGAGGTTAAGAGGAATAGAGAATGAATTACTAATAGGAATGGTGGCATCTACCTATGTTACTAGCTCCAGCTACTTTTACAGCTGAAAGGATGTGAGGCTCAAATAAAATATGGAAATGCTTTGAAATGTTAAAAGCCCTAAGTAAGTATGAGATGATATTCAGTAACTTTGTTCTTTCAATAGGTGGTGGTTGCAAACTTTGTGGCTCTGTGGAACATTTTAAGAAAGATTGCCCTGAAAGTCAGAATTCAGGTGAGATCCCTGGGTCTCCATTTAGGAGGGGTGAGATTAGTATTTTTCTGTGTTTTGCTGCATTTCGTTATCGATAACTCATGATATTAGTCTGTTTCTGTTGCTTATAACAAAATACCTGGAACTGGGTAATTTAAAGAAAATGAAATTTATTGCTTACAGTTTTGGAGGCTGGGAAGTCCAAAGTCCAGGGGACACATCTGGTGAAGGCCTTGTCATGGTCGTGACTACAGCAGCTCAGAGTATCACATGGTGAATATGGTGGAGCAGAGAGAGATAGAGCTTCTCATGAGTTCTCCTTTTAAAGCCCTCAGAACCACACCCATGACCACCATTAAACCATCAACTTAATCACATCTTCAAGGCCCCACCTTTCAATTACCATAGTAGGATTTCCTGCCCTCAACAGTTACGGTGGGGATTCAGTTTTGGGGGGACATTCAATCTAAAGTACTGTGGTGCTGCTGTGGTGACTTAATCACTTCTCTGTCAGCAACAGACACAGTACTGAGTAACTGTGCATTAGCTGCTGTTCTCAGTTGGGAAAAAGAAAAAATGACCAATAAGCCTTTAAAGCATCTTATATAAGCATTTGTATTTACTAACTAATGAATTTAATTATAATAGACTCAATTCTGTTAGTTAACATATTGATTCATTAAAAGAAAATAAAAAATATGAAAATAACTCTCTCCATTCTTATTCTCTGCTTTGTGTGTACCTTAAGGATTCAAAGTTGATTGCAAAAACTGCCAAAAATATTTAAGGTGTATTATTCACACAGCATCTGGCTAGTTATTTTCTTCTTAAGGAAATACTTCCTTCTTCATCAAAAACTTCATAAATGTTTACTATACCTATGGCAGACTTTTGAGGAAGTGGAGACCATTATTACATGAGTTTGCCTGGATTAGAAGGATGGTAATTCTTTGTGAAAGAAAGCAAGACAGTAGGATAGCACAGTAGTGCTTCTTAGGGAAACAGCACACTTCTTTTTACTTCATATAGTTACACTACTACACAAATAAGTCTGCCCATTCTTCCTACCCCTAACATTTAAATTTGAAAACCGAGAGTTCTTGTTTACAGTCTTGTCTAGAAGAAGATAGTCCTTACTACATTGTAGGCAGTGAGATTGAAAAGATGAAGTAGCATTTGAATTCTCCCTCCTGGGAGGATTGCCACTTCCCAAATGACAAGACTGACAAGCAGATGTTGTATAATTTCACAGGTGGAATCTTGTGCATTTAAGACTGATGCTTCGTAACTTTTGCTGTTTACAGACACTTGGAATTCATTGACTCTATAATGATGAACTCTGGGAAAGAAGAATGACAAGACTGACAAGCAGATGTTGTATAATTTCACAGGTGGAATCTTGTGCATTTAAGACTGATGCTTCGTAAGTTTTGCTGTTTACAGACACTTGGAATTCATTGACTCTATAATGATGAACTCTGGGAAAGAAGGAAAGAGATTTCTCATCAATTTGTGCATTGCAAAGTAGTTGCTGCATATTCCTAATTGGAATGAGAAATTGCCTGTGGTGCTCTGAAATCAAGGGTTATAATCAATTACAGAACTGCTTACTTTCCTATAGTGATGGAGTCTTCCCTCCTTGTGATTATTCATGTCAAAACCAATTCCTTTGCTAAGCCAATACCAATCTAAGTGGGTGCATTTGATTACTGTTTTTCTTATGTTCTGACTTTTCTGTTCCTTTACAGATCGAATGGTCACAGTTGGTCGCTGGGCAAAGGGAATGAGTGCAGACTATGAAGAAATTTTGGATGCACCTAAAACACAGAAACCCAAAACAAAGATACCTAAAGTTGTTAATTTCTGATAATAGTTAGTACTTCGGTTAGTCACCACCTCATTGTTACTCCCAAACTGTGCCTA